CTGACGCTCCAGTGCAACGACAACAACAAAAACAAATTACAATTGTTAGCGCCTTTCACACTGGGAGCAGCTCGGGTTGCAAGCTCGACTTCCATGCGGGATTTGACTACATATTTGGAATTACCGGATAAAGAGGGTAGATTCCTGGTGCTTAGATTGCTTTTATTTTTTTTTACTAACTTTAAACACATTGGGGAGTGAAACTTACAGAGTTTTGTAATGTCTTGCTCGTGATGATCACAAGACATCAGGAATCCCTTCAATTTTCACCCCCAATCAATTGTGAGCAGTGAGTTACACAGAGCAGTAGGAACAGGGAGGTTTGTTAGCACGTTCAGCTATGAACGAAATCCACACTTGTGGAAAAAATGGTGGGAGGGAGTGTGGGAGGGGTGGGTGGTGTTTCGCTGTATCCTGGTGTGGATTCAGTTTCAGAGAGTGTTTTAGTGGAGGTTATTTATAAGCATTGAAGATGGTTTAATGCTCTATGTTGTGGCATGCGAGTATTCTCTAGTATTTGCTTTTGGCTCCGCCTGTCACTTATTTCTCAGGCTTGGGTTGCAAGCTTGACCCCAATGCGGGGACCGGCCATTTGGAATCTGTAGCCAAATCCAACACAAGGCTTTCCTCAGTGAGAAACAGCGCTCCCGCCTCTCCAGTTCTGCAGAGGAGCATAGCAACCCTGATACTTGGTGTAAAGGGGCCTGTGCACAACAGATATCTAGCTTGTACTGGTGGAGGCAGGAGCAGTTCCAGGTTATTCCACAGCCCGATCAACTTCATTAAACACTGTAACTTTGCTTTATCCAATAGGACTGATTGATCGACCTACTGTATGAGAGGCAGTACAGGAATGCTCATTAGATGGTAGTAATGTGATGGCTGCACTGGGCTCCCACACTGTTCTGCACTGAAGGAAAAGCAACTGCAAAAACATTTGATGTACCAGAGAGAGCTAATCCCTGTTAAAGGTGCGGTGTGATCTACTGGCGGGTGGGGAAGAAATTGACTGATACCTTGATCTGTCTCAGTTAATTGGTCTCAGTGTCCCTGGACTGGAAAGAAGGGGGGAAATCAGTCCAGGATTAGGCTTCTGATTTCTATTCAGAGATCCTATCCTCTCCCCCACCCCCCGCTCCCTCGGCATCGGAAAATGCTCAGATGGATAGTAAGAGGCTTTTGTGTGAGAATATTTAATTTAGTCGCCGGGAATGTGATTGACCTCATGACCTACTTTTCCTCCATTGCTGAGGGGGAGGTAAGGGTATTAAAGGACGTGGAGAAAAGATACAGAGAAATATTCCCTTTGGTGGGTGGGGAATCCAGAAAATGGGGCAAAATTGGAGCTAGGCCATTGAAATCAGGAGGCAGTTTTTCACCCAAAGGGTAGCGGAAAATTGGAACTCTCTCCCTCCCCCAAATGGTTGTGGAAGCTGGATCCATTCACATTTTCAAGTCTGAGGTGGATAGATATTTGTTAGTCAGGGTATCAAGGAATATGGGGCAAGGGCAGGTAATTGGACTTGAAGTACAGATCAGACGTGATCTTATAGAATGGTGGAACAGGCTTGAGGGACTGAAGAGGCCTCCTGCTGTTTCTGTGTTTCTAAAGGCAGAAAGGGGAACCAGCGGAGTAGGCTCGATGGGCCGAATGGTGCTGTTTCAATGTCGCGGGCGTGATTATTATTCAAATTATGGGCGTGAGTACTACGGTATGGGCATGAGTTATAGACACGGTGATATCTACATGTGTGTGCGGTGTGATAAAGTTTGATCAGAGTGCCCCGCTTCATATAGTTCGTAGGCGACTTCAGTTCTACACCCCTTACCGAGAGGCAGGAGTGCGTGATGGCTAAGAGAGGCTGTATGCGAGTTACTAGCAGGAAGTCCGTGTCGTTTCGCGCTCTACTTTGAAGGATCTGGTTTGTGTCATTGGTGGACTGAGTGGAGGACAAATCAGGTCCTGGCCAGCTTCCTTTACGTTTCGGGGCCTTGGATGCGCATCAGAAGGCTGTGATCTCAGCCTTTGCTGCATAAATAGAGTGTGTGTGATATACTGTATCAGCCTATTGATTTTCTGCTGCTGTGGCCGGGCCGGGCCTGGATGAGAGTGCTAGAATTGCGGAGTAATTGAGAGGTCTGAGGGAACAGGCGCTCTTCTAGCACGTCTCAAAGTGCTTCACATAATATGCAGTGAAGTGAATTGACTGTATATTTTGTGGGTAAAATGCACAAGGTCCTCACCTGTTCTGGGATAGCCCCAGAGCAGAGCACAGCATTAATAAGCGAGAGCGGACTTTTAGTTTGCTGGACCTCTCTTGGGACCTCACCAAAGTGCAGGTACAGTTGTCTTTTTCTCTTCAGATTGTAGCTTTTGTCACTCTGTCAGGTCTGCCAACCCATTGTCGTATATCTTTTTCCCTGAGGCAAACTGGCCATTAGTGAGGGCATGAGTACTGACTTGTCCCTTTGTCTGTTAAGGCGTGTGGCTCCTTCCTCTTCATCGGCAGGTTGGTTAAAAGAGACAATTGGGGTTGTTGATGACTATAGTATGGTGCAAAGAGAGTGGTGAAGTCCTGTAGCTCAGTGGTTAGAGCACTCGCCTTGCAAGCGAGAGTACCTGGGTTCGATTCTCGGGCAGGTTGAAATATTGGGCAAGTTTCCTTACTCCATGCGCCTCTGTTTACCTATCAGTAAGTAGGAACTCAGTTGTTTGTCAATTGGCGGATCGCTTTTTCGGTTGTGATAATCCCTTCAAAAAAAATAATAATAATTTAATCCAAGACTGTTTGTGGGACACTGCTGTGCAAAATTAGCTACTGCATTTCACCCACAAAACGTACAGTCAATTCACTTCACTGTGAAGCGTTTTGAGACGTCTCGAAGACAGGACAAGGAGCTATATGAAATGCAAAGATTGTTGTTGTGTGTGTGTGGTGGGATTTGGGTTTAGAGATCTACGTGGGTGGTATGTTGACTTGGTACATTGGGGAAGCTGGCTTCATTTTTTTGTGTCATTTGTAGACTTGAGAGAAATGTGCGTCTTTGAACTCCCACAGGACACAATCTGGTTAATGACTGGGAGCTCTTAACTGATTAAAAACGCACTCTATCGGAATGGTACAAATTGCAGAATAGGACGTTGTGTGGCTGATCGAGCTTCTTGCTGGTACCAGTTCCCTAATAGGAAAAGCTCTTTCCTCTCATTGGGGAATTGGTGAAAAGGGAGCAGAGTTAGTAGAAGAATCAGACGAGAAGTTAGAGAGAATTCCTTCACTCAGGGTTGTTAGACCTAAGGGTTTCATTACCACAAGTGGCTTTTGAGGCTGGATCAATAGGATCATTCAATAAGGGATTGGGATAAGCACTGAGTAAATTTTTTTTAAAAAAAACATTTACCGGGATTACTAAGAGGGGGTTTCTTCAAAAATCAGGTATCAGTGGCACAGACGCAATAGGCCAAGTGGTCTCCTTCTGTACAGAAAACTTCTGTTTCTGCAAAGCCAGGCAGGTCCACCATTGATTTGGCCAATCAATTCACGGCTGTTTGTGGGACACTGATGTGCACAATTGGCAGCTGCATTTCGCCCACAAAATATCAACAACAACAAGATTTCATTTATAGAGTGCCTTTCACGTCGGGTGGACGTCCCAAGGCGCTGGACAGTTGGGTCGGGACCCGAGCATTGGGGAAATGGTCAGGGTGAGGGGAGGGAAGCGGCGAAGGCACTGGGGATGGAGTTCCAGAGCCTCGGGGCTGAGAGGCTGAAGGCCACCGATGGTAGGGCGGTTGGGGCGGGGGATGTGGAGCAGACCGGAGCCAGAGGAACGGAGGGTACGGGTAGGTAAGTAGGGGCATAGTAGGTCGGAGAGGTAGGAGGGAGCGAGGCCGTGAATAGCCTTGTAGGTGAGGATGAGGATCTTGAATTCGAAATGCATGAAAATATGCAATCAATTTACTTCACAATATATTCTGTGAAGCGCTTTGAAACATCTCAATGCCGAGAAAAGGCGCTGTATCAAATGTAAAGATTATTGTTGTTATTGGATTATCAAGGAGACCTGGAGGTGCAGTTATAACCTCAGCACTAGGATGGGTGACTGAGGCTAGGCACTGGACTCCACGTGATGCTGGGATGGGAGGATGGTAGCGTGGGGAATTGTGGAAGGATGAGATCAAATGGGCTGAAGGGCCTTCTTTACCTGAACCTTTTCTTGTGATCCTGTTGGATCTCTGGCGGACAGGACAGGCTAAGCTGAGCTGGGCAAGGTATGGTGCTCTCTGCTCTATAACATCTATTTTCAGGGCTCAAGCTCCTTGCTAGAGTGACATTTGAACAATGCAGTAGCGTTGCACAGATCTGATCATCAAATTGTTGTTATCGCCAATGGCAGGAATGTTCCAGCGTTCCCCGCAGGCTTGTCCCAGAGTGGCTGCCTGTCACGTCGTGTTGACCAGCCGCATGCCTGTCTGCCTTTCACCAGCTGCCTTCTGCTTGCCTGCCTTGCCCTGCCCTGCCTTGCTGCTTGTGAGCTCGTGGCTGTGTTTACTGAGCCGGCTCACTTTAAAGAGGTGCCTCCGTCAGAACGGTGCCTCCTCCAAAGCTCTGCCAGGCGAGCTGAACCAGACTCTTGTACGTGCGCACGAGAGGTTAAGTCAGTGAGCGGACTGCCTGACGAGTGCCAGCTAAAAGGCTGTGCTGCAGCCCCTGTAATTTCAAATTTGCCGAACACTGTGTTCAATTATCAGTGTAATCGCTGGCGCAGCAGCTCTGTGTTGTGCGAGGCAGTGCTTTGAGCATGTCATAATAGCGCGGCACAGTGGCTGATCCGTTTCAGCAGTGCATGATCGAGAACTCTGGCTAATCTGTGGGCTGTTTCAGATGACCTTTCCAATATATACATTTTTTTTCCTCTCTTCTTCTCCCCCCCCACCCCCCCCCCCCCGAACCACCCCTTCCCTCCCTCCTTCCCTCACTCCCTCCTCTTCTTCTCTCCAGAACTCAGAGGAATCTCTTGCTATTCGCAGCCAAACGTGTGGCAGTGAGCCACCGGGAAGCCTGGATAAACCATGTTTATCCGAATGGACCACTTTGGTAGGGGACACTGCAGGTTGCGAGTGAGCATGTTCGTGTGTCAGCCGGTTGCCTTCTGAAACTCCCGGATGTCTCTTTATGACTGGGTTTTGCGGAGAAGTGTGATTTAAGAGTGTGGCACGTTTTTTTGCGATGTTTGTAGATGCTCGCAGAGGTATTTTGCTGCCTCTTAGTTGACCTCCATCCCGTTTGTCGTGCTTTTATCCATGCTCTTGATGTGTAAGCCTTGTAGTGTAGAGTTATGTGCGAGTGCTGTGCAAGGTAACGCTCCAAGACACCGTCCGGCGTGAAGGGCGCTATATAAACGCAAGTTGTTGTTGTTGTTACCACTAGAGCTTGCCTGCCTGCTCGGTGATTTTATTAGGAAGTCTTGACATTGGCTGAGAATTCAGCACATGACCAACCCGAGAGCTGTGGTCACACTTCAAAACGACAATCGTAGGGTTCTGAGTGTCACGGAGTTCGAAAGCGTTCTCTTTGCTCTTTATTATCATTCAATGAGCCTTTATCATCCGTGCTTCAAGTTTCTGTCGGTATTCGCTTGGCTCAGTTGGTAGCACTCTTCCCTCTGGGATACAACCATTATGGATTGACATCCCACTTTGAGCTCACAGGCAAGTGCCGTGCTGTGCGGGGTGGGGGTAGCTGGGGAGGGGGAGAAGTGTTGCATTGTCAGAGGTGCCGTGCTTTGGATAAGACAGTTAATCTGAAGTCCCATACTTCTTGTTCTTCAGGTGGACGTAAAAGATCAAGTTCAGTAAAGAGAAGGGAGTTTCTTCCAGTGTCCCTCCAGGCAGATCTTCCAGATAGATCGGTCATTCACATCACGGCCGTTCGTGAGACTTTGCTGGCCACAAACTGGCCGACAGAAAAAAGTCATGACGTGTAACAGTAGTTACCTTGATTTCAGTGTTCTTGGGGCGCTATAAAAATATAAACCCTCTTGATGGAGATTGTCGCAATGCTGAGATTGTGGCAGTAATGTTTTCCCTCTATACGCAATGTATCGGAGGGGGCGCGGGGGTCAGGGGGAAAGCTCTTAAGATATTGGAATTTGGTCAGAATGTTCTGTTGGGAAACCCATGATCTTTTGTATACCAGTAAATGTTAATTGTCCCGGGAGGGATGCAATGATTTAAAACAAAAGGACAAAATAATAGATTTGATTTTTTTTCACATATCTATAAAAAGACTAACTTTAACTGTGATTTGACATTGACAGCTCCTGTCAGTCAATGATGGTTTTGTCCTGGAGCAAGGTGTTTAATGGAGCAAAGCTTTCAAGTCGATGGGTGAGGGCAGAGTAACTGGAGCAGGAGGCTTGAAAGGAAAAGGTTGGATTATGAGTGAATTATACGGCTTGGGGGGGGGTGTGGGGGGAAAGAAATGCTCAAGTGAGAGGCAGAAGTGACACCTGGAGCAACCACCCCCAGACAACAGCCACCCCCAGACAACAGCCACCCCCAGACAACAGCCACCCCCAGACAACAGCCACCCCCAGACAACAGCCACCCCCAGACAACAGCCACCCCCAGACAACAGCCACCCCCAGACAACAGCCGCCCCCAGACAACAGCCGCCCCCAGACAACAGCCGCCCCCAGACAACAGCCGCCCCCAGACAACAGCCGCCCCCAGACAACAGCCACCCCCAGACAACAGCCGCCCCCAGACAACAGCCACCCCCAGACAACAGCCACCCCCAGACAACAGCCACCCCCAGACAACAGCCAACCCCAGACAACAGCCGCCGCCGCCCCCAGACAACAGCCGCCCCCAGACAACAGCCGCCCCCAGACAACAGCCGCCCCCAGACAACAGCCGCCCCCAGACAACAGCCGCCCCAGACAACAGCCACCCCCAGACACCAGCCGACCCCAGACAACAGCCACCCCCGAAGACAATTTAATAAGGGCTTTTGGGAGGTCAGAGGTCAGTAACAAAGCCCGGGTCTGAGTGGAGAGAGTCACGTGAATCTTTAAGTGTGACAGCACAATTGAGCCTGAAACATGAGCGACTCGTCAGCTTCCAGTCAAAAGGAGTCAAGAATAACAGTAGTTTGTGCCATGTCCTGAGGAACGGTGGAAGAGTATTATTCCAAGGGAGCCTGCCTGCCCTGTGATTCTGAGACGTGGGGCTTGTTTCGTTTGGTGAGGAAAGGGTTAACATCTTGTGGGGCGTACTCGAGTTAACACTGTAGTTTGCTGGTGTTACCTAGAGTCATCAGTTTGCCTGTGGAATTTGTAAGTTAATAGTTTGCCAGTGTTATCTATGGTTAATAGTTTGCCTGTGATGTAAAATGCTCGTGCCATGTATTGCGTTTACCGAGGTCTCTGATGGCTCCGTAGTTGGGTTAATATAGAGCGAGGGTCGAGGAGACTGACAGGGCAAGCGGACTAATAGGGGGAGGAGATGGTGCTGATTGTCCTGACCTGTGATCTCTCACGTCTGAGGTGTGCCCAAGGAGTGGAACAGAAAAAGTGAGTGTAGGTTTGCAGCCTTCTGTAGGAGTAATGGTTGTAGTTTAACATGAACGAGCCAGAGACCCTCCACGTCAGGCACATATCATGTGTGTTTCATATTAATTAAGAACAATTTTTGTATTTCATATGGCATCTTTTGGAAGCGCTTCACAAGAAATTGCTGTAAGTATAGTAACTTGATAAACTGTATACTTGTGTAAAATGGCTTCCCTGTTTGGCTTCTTGTTTAAAATCCTTGGGTGACATGGTTTTAATGGGTGAAAGAAGGTCTTTGAGTTCATTGTGAGGGTGATGGACCTGGAGTCTGATCTGAATAACACACGTTGTTTAATTGATACTTGAATTGTTTGACTCGGAAATAAGGCAGCCTGGGGGAGATGCTGTTGGGCGCCCTTAGAACTGTCCACCAGTGGAAGGAAATTAACTTCAGCAGAGAAAGAAAGAGGGGGAAATTGTCTTTGTTCTTAAACGAAGAAAGAAAGGGAGGTGTTCCCTGTTTCTAGGCCAACAATCTTCCCCCCCCCCAATAAAATTGTTCATTCACTTCATACTCATTGCTAATATTCCTTAATTTTGGAATAGTCCTTAGTGCTTTTCATATCTCACAAAGTGCTTTACAGGATATACTCTATGGCTGTTTGTGGGACGTTACTGTGCGTAAATTGGCTGCTGGATTGCTTACAAAATATACAGCCTTACAGTAAAATCTTTTGAACCACTTCGAAATGTCTCAATGATGTGCTGAGGTGCTACGACAAATGCAAGGATTATTATGATTATAAAAGAGTGTAGGAACATCGCAGTGCAAAGGTCATTTCAGTAAGCCCAGCCAGTCACCATTGCACATGCACACACAGCTAATTTGATGTTATTTGAAGGGTAAGTGCTGGCGTCTCCATCTTCCCGCAAAATCCTGGAGAATAATGGGTGTGATAACTGAGCACGAATCCATTGAGAGGTTAGTTATGAAGTCGGAGACAAGCTCAGCAGATTTACAAGCAACAACCTGGAGAGACGAGCTCTCAGCCATGAAATCACTCCCCTGTATCTGTTCTTCTGGATAATGTGTACAGCACATTGGGTGCAGTTTGATTGGATTTATGCTCTTATGTTATTTAATGGGTTGAGAAAGGTCAGCCAGGAAGGGAGGGAGGGAGGGACAGACATTGAGTCGAGTCTGACAGATGTGGTTGACATTAAACTGGAAGTGAGATGCTCAAGCCTTAGCAACGTGATTTAGTGGCTGGAAGGGTTTTGCTAGCACTTATTCCAATTTGTTTCTTATCAAAAAAAAGGAAAACCCTAACGATTCTGTATTGCAATAAACAGATGCTGCTCCCCACACAGGCAGCGAGACGTGCTTCCAGACAGTCCGAGTACATATGGCTTAGCCACAGACAAATGCAGCAGTCAGCCTTTCACATCGATCACTTGTACCTTCTTCTCTGTGTAAGAAAGGGATCAGGCTGCAGCGCTCAGACCCAGTCTCATAGCCCAGCTCGTCTGCTCGTGGCCGAGATATCAGAATTAACGCAGCCCATGACCCTCATCTAAATAATCGGCTGCTCAGTTGCGGTGGCTGCAGTCCATTTACTGTCATGGCATTACCACACTTAAATGTTCACTCAGTAGCCTATGCTCCTCATTCAGGGACAGCTACACATCATCTTGAATCTGTCCTTTTTTGGTCAGTCGGGTATCTGACCCATGCGGCAGCCAACCCATGACCGTGCTTAAGAGTCTCTAAACCAAGCTGAGATTTCCGTGCATCCCACCTACACGTGGAAACTGCAATGAAGGGAATGCCCTGATTTGATCTGGGGAATTGTTGGTCAAGACACCAACCAGGAGAAGCTCCTTTCTCTTTAGAAATAGTGCCGTGGGATCCTTAACGTCCAACTGAACTGCTTTTGCATCTTAGGGCTTGACCCCGTAATCTTCTGACCCTGAGGCGAGAGTGCTTCCGACTGAGCCAAGCTTACGCGGTCACCAGGGCGCAAGGGTGGTTGTTTGCTTTGTTTTCATTCCCTAACGGTTGTGCGTACCTCAGGCACGTCAAAAGTGCCAGGTGTAAAATGGTCTCGGGCTGAAGGGGCCCCTTTTTCATGCTGTTTCACTCGTATATTGACATAGTACGTTCCCAACCCCCAAGTATACTCGCAGGAAGTATCGAAAATGTTTGTTCAGGCAATAGGAAGGAGGTTGTGGTCCTGTTTTTAGTCACTTGGCTAGATTTGGTCACAGGTCAAACCTATCCAATATTTGATCTCTTCAGTGCACAATAAATACATCCTTCTGCCTGCTGCAAAGAAATGTGAGCACTGTTATTTCCTCCTAACCTCTCTTTTGAGTGTTGGTGGGTGTGCGCGTGTTTATGTGCTTCGGACCCTAACCCCATGTGAAGGGCGCTATATAAATGCAAGTTGTTGTTTGTGCGTGTGCGTGTTTGTGTGCACGTGTTTGTTGCAATTGGCCACAAAAGAGGGGTCCACTTCGGTTCCCCAGTCACTGAGCATGT